ATTTACAACTTGGCTGGTAGACAACTTAAATTTTGCCTTCAACCGTGGGCGGTAACTACGGAACTACTACTTCGTCACTTCTGCGGACCAGCTGCCGATGTCCTGACTAATGCCGAGGGGAGTGGCCCTACAAAGTAGGCTGAGACGACGAGGATGGTGTGCTAGGGTGCGTGAGCCCCTAGTACAGATTGACGGCTTGTAAGGCAGGCCTATAGCTGGCACTAACAGCCCTTTTCAGGGCTAAACACCTTTCCTATTGTCACAGGTTACTGTACATTTAGGTTCTCATTGACCGCCGTACAATGACCTACTTTTCGGCTCAAAATTCATATCTTTGGCTAATACTCCGTGGAAATTGCATGGAGGTAAATTATCACCATTTTGTGCTTCAAAATTAACTCTTTAAGGACATGACTGGTGACATGTCCGGGGTCCGTACTCGACAGCGCAAGCTGCATTTTGTGCCCGAAAGGGCGGATGGACCCTCATTAAGCTTTAACTACATACATACATACTATCGTTGTCAATGAGAGGGTTATGTGAGGCACGGCAATACTCTGAAGCAAATCTTTTTTTTTACCTTCAGCAAATAGTACTAGAATGCGATACATGGAAGGCACTTTTGGCAACACGAATAAAGAGAACTGAACAATAAGTCTGTGCCTTCTTTCTTTAAAGAATTATGTTGGATTGTAGAAAAACTCATATTTTTGACCAAGTGTATAACCACGAAACAATGCAAAGTTTACTATCGATAATTCCGTTGTATAACCAAAACTTGTGAATTTGTCCCTTTTTGATGTTGAAATAAATATTCAGTGTATCCTGGCAACTATGTTTACCTCCAATTGGAGGTATTTTGAGTCATAGGATGTGATTTAGTTTTTTATTGTTAAATATATGTAAGCTGGCGTAGGTTAAGGTCTTTTCATGCATTGTGCTGAATCAATAGCACCTCTAAAATATGTGTATACATGCTGTCATTAGCTGTTACCTTGATTTGCTGTCTAGATTTGCTGTCTATATGATCAAAAACAGAGAACTACTTTTATGTACATGAAATACTACACAGAATATTTATTAAGTTTTGTAAGTGATGGCTTTCTAAGAGATAAAATAAACAATGTATACATAAATTGATAATCAACATACATACATTTGGACTCATTTAAATTTTACTTATTTAAAAACAAAATGGGGAAAATGGGAAAATACATGTGTATGGTAAAAATAAAAAGTAATGTACGAAAGGGTACATACAATTTTGGTTATAATTTTACTATTGTTAAAAGTTTTTTTCTTGTCAAGTCATGCGCTAGAATTAAGGGTACTAATATAATAGTACTACTAGAAAAGACAACAGCCAGAATTTGGTCTGAGCTAGTAATTAGTCGTATCAAAATTTCTATCAGATGTTGACTTGATAATTTGAAAGTGGTAAGGTAGCAGCTTATCTGTAAATGTTACTCATTCCTATGCAAATTGGAATACCATCAGTAAAATTTATTTGTCATTGAATATAGTCTTTTCAATAGTTTTCACTTCCTTGAATAATATTTAACCTCAGACAGTATGTAACATGGTGTTTTGGTTTTTTTTAAAGTTTCTTTTTCCAGGAAATGTGGTGTCTACAACGTTTTAAAACTTATATGCCTATATTCCTTTAAAGTCCGCTGATGTTGATTGTAGGCAATTATGCAAGTGAATTATGTTTAGTAACTAAACACCTAAAAGGTATGATAAACGGAAACTACGCCGCTTCTTGTCGCCGACGGTAAATAAAGAAAATGAGCGGAAAATACGTTTATTTACGATGATATAGTGGGCGGGGAAATTGGCGGAGCTTATTTTATCTCCTATTGAAAAACGTGTAAAGCTGGATTATGCTGATCGGAATCATGATGGTTCGACAATGTAAAGCTAAGAATGTAACTTCTGTTTTGAGTATTCGAACACTTGGTATAGCTACTATCAGTTAATGTTTTGTCGTTTAACAAAATGTATTTTGTTGAAATGCATGTTTACAATGTTAAATCGGCAAACTCAATCCAAGTATGCAACATTGGAGTTTACATACAAAGAAATAAAATTGTATTTGTTCCATGAACAAACTGTTCAACTCAGATCAAATGTTGACTGGACCATTGCCTTTGTAACAAAATGCTCAGTCTTAAATTTATTGTTACCATAACAACGAGGGGACATCTCAAAATTGCCTAAAATCACTATTTTGCCTTGATTTTTTCCATCAGTGCTTCAATTTCTCAAGGGATTAAGATAGAGTCAAAGGCTTTTCAGCCTTGGTTACACGTTACCTTATGATCGGCCTTCGGTCATTTTTAGCCTCTCACAAGTCCAAATTTTTTCTTGGCGATGAGGGGCGGTAGTTTGGGGCCCATATAGGATTTTCTTTTAACTATTTGAGGCCTAAAAGAGGGGGAGGGGTCGAAAGTGTGTTGTTTCGCGTATATATGAGGTAAAGGGTTAAGAGCAATCTGATTATATTTCTTTATTCGAATTTAGAACAGCAAATCATGAACTTACAGTAGAAATTAGAAACTACGACGGAACTCCTTATATTAAAAGACTTTGTGCATTGTGTAGAGACAATAAAAATTGGTACCGAACCACATTACTTTATACTTTGTAGGTTTTCAGGCGACTAAAAGAGAATTTTCTCTAAAAACGCAAATTTATTACACGAACGCGAACTTTCGCTTAAATCTCTATTAATATCAAATAACGAGCCTCTTAAAATTTATTAATTTTATTATAAAAAAAGATATTATGCTCTGCATTAAATACTTAATATTTAAGATTGCATTTAATATTACTCATTCGTTAATTTGTTTGTTTCCTTTGAATTTTATGTTTAATTTTTCTCAATATTTTCTTTGCTTTGTATTTAATGACTTATTTACAAAAGAAGTCATTGGTTTCATTTAAGAAATACAAGTACATATTATCTAAATGTAAAATTTATAAATCGTTATGGCTCACATTTCACAGAAAAAGTCTTTTACAACATATTCCGATAATTTAAATCCAATTGGTTTATAATAATTAAGAGTTTCTCCTTTGTATGTAAAACTATGAGTGACCTTTCTGTTAGTTGTAGATAACTGTAATAAACGACATCCCCGTGCAGATGTACTACATATGGTGGCTGATTTGGGACACTTTTGCATGTCGTGATGTCACTAGTAACAGCACGACAAAGCACCAAACGGCGCGATGTCGCACTGTCGTCTTGTCGTCCTGTCGCTAACGAAGCACACCGTTCGGCGGCGTGTTGTCGCAATGTCACATTGTTGCTCGGCTCAAATCAAAGGCATGGCGAAATCGCGACAACGCGCTGCACGACAAAGTGCCGTTTGGCGTGCTTCCCTAGCGACAGGACAACAGTGCGACAACGCCCTGTTTTGCGCGTTTTGCTAGCGACAAGACGATAAGGTGATTACGATATAGGTCGTGTTTTCGCTGTCGACAACGCAACGCGCAAAACATACCTGTACAAATCATTACAGGATACAACCTCCATATTTGTTTTCCAAATTTATGTAGAATTATACATTAAAAGTATACATTGTCTTAAAGTAAACCAATCTCGGCTCTATATTTCATTTTATAGTTTAGAAGAAGATAATTGTTATTTGGTTTCTCTTGTTAAGTATTATTTTCTTTTTTGAATTAATTGGAAGTGTACTCTGTTAAATGATTATACTTTTTTGTACCGGAACAATACATAATATTTTGTTATATTTGACAATTTTATTGTAAACGCAGTCGCTGCAACTCGGTGCCCTGCAGGATGAATTAGTGTATATCAAACTAACCTTATACAGAAAATACATACAAATAAGCAGTGCGGTTTAGATTGCAAAGATCAGAGATCAGAAATATCAGAGATCTGCAGCTCTTTGATTATGTTAGTCAGGGTCACATTATTTAGACGAATACAAATTCAAAATATTATTCAAAAATAATCTTTTGTTGAATTTGTTACTTGCTCTTTACGAAACAACTGAAATTTTGCTTAACGAAGGTCTTACACGAGTTTTATCTTTTGTTTTTTATGCCTCCACAAAGTGGGGAGCATATAGCATTGCACTTGTCCGTCCCCATTGTGGGGTTTGGTCTATTGTTCTCATAACAATAGATGTCTTTGATGTCATTCATTCCGTTTTCTCTTGTGGGGCTATTTTCTGCATTGTGGGGTTGAAAAGAACAAAAGAAATAACAAAAGAAAACCCCATAATGTAGCTCTGGTAAGAATGTCCGTCCGTCCGTACGTACGTCCGTACGTCCGTCCCGAAATCTTGTGAACGCAACTCCTCTTAAACCGGATGGCAGATTTTGTTTAAACTTCCTGGGATGAACAACCTTAATGTGTAGATGGTAGCAAAGAAAGGAATTTTCGCTGCGACCAAATTTAACAGAATTATGGCCCTTTGTTGATTTTTTTCACTATATACTATGTTGTAATTTTGTGAACGCAACTCCTCTTAAACCGGATGGCAGATTTTGCTTAAACTTCCAGGGATGAACAACCTTAATATGTAAATGGAAGTAAAGGAAGAAATTTTTGCTGTGACCAAATTTAACAGAATTATGCCCCTTTGTTGATTTTTTCAATATATACCATATAGAAATTTAGTGAACGCAACTCCTCTAAAACTGGCGCACATCTGCACAGTGAGGGCATCCGTGTCCTTTGGACACAGTTCTAGTTTTCAAATTTTATACAATCATGTTCTTAGAATTATAAGTGTTTATCTCTTTAAGAACATAGAAATTGAATATTCTTAGTCGTGTTTACTTTTAAGATTATCACTTTCTGGAATGCTGGAACAGATAGAGAAAATCGTACTTTTAATGATATGAAAGATGTGCCACGCATGATTTTCTTTGTATAAATTTTATATAAATCGAACAAATCTATATCATAACGTATTTTTATCTATTATATATTGCTTTAGATTATGATATTTTTACTACAGTAAATACAAAGAAAAAACAGAGAGACAAGTTGAAAACAAAAAGGAAGGGGCCGGTTCAGAAAACATCAAACGGTTTGTGTATTAAGTTCTTATAAAACAATTTCTATTGTTAAATCTCATCTAAATTTAAATGTTAAACTTATCTGTCTCTTAAAAAAATTTAAGCTCACTGTTTTGTTTTGCTTTTTCAAAATTTAAAGAAAGAAAAGTAAAAGATTTATGGATTGTGCCCGGGAGTGATAATTTTTTGTCCTAAAGTCGTTCATCTAATTTCTTATTACTTAGAATACATAAAGCATGTTTTACGCTATATTTGGTTATTATAAACTGGATTAGTTGTAAAAGGGTATTTTTGTTTACTGGTGATAGATTTTAATTCAATGTAAGCTAAATAATTAGCGTTTAAATCGATCCATAGTAAACTGTAGATTATTCTCCTTATTGTTACAGCTGGCTGCTTGCTGATGATCCATTGTATTCCACAATAGGAGAAAGTGATAAAACAACAATGTGAGTAAACAACACTCCTTACAAGCAATAATTCAAGGAACGGGTTAAAACCCCATATATACGAGATTTGTCGCTGAAGTTATCATAATACTTTTATAAAATAAAAACAGATCCTTGTAGCGCTAAAATCTATTAATATATAAAATCAATATATTTCTACGTTGCATGAAAAAAATCATACATCTTATCATTTGGTTTAGAAATAACATTTCAAAATGCAGTAAAGAGGTAGTGGCGCAAGTCACAACGTCATTTCTAAGTCATCAAGTTCCATTGAAAACATGCATGCTGTTATATCATTCATTTCGTGCTTGATAAATAATATTGGCATATAGCGGATGCTAAAGGACAACTCTCGTATGTGTTTTCTTGTAAAATTATGTTTATAATTGTTGAATAAGTAATGCATTATGAATAAATAATTTGAACACTGACATTTGAAGTATTCAATAGGGGGAAATATTTTCGTCCTTTTTTAAACTTACAAATTGACCCGCACAAATTCTCCTTTTATACCATCACAACAATTGTTAAAATACATTGAAACTATTTATTCATTAGAATCAAACAGGCTAAATGAGATAATGATGATAATCTACATAAAAAACATTTAATTTAACTTATAAACATCTTTATAAATATTGTCAAACCATCGTCTCTGTTTGAAACGGTTACAGAATATATCAATATATTCTTCCAATGACATTGCGCTATGTGCTCTGGGCATGTGCACACTAGAATCGATCATCGATACTAGAAAACTTCAATGTTTTGGTCGACTTTGCCACCTGCCTGGTAGATTTATTGCCAAAAAGTTCTTTACTCATAGACTCGTAAGATACTTAAACGTTGACCGACAAACCCAAGTATTTATTCCTGATATCTACAAATTGATTATCAAATATGACCTCCTCGACTCTTTAAATGATATCCTCCGTTCTGGATACTTTCCCTCAAAAAGACCTAGAGTACGAAAGTTAAGATGAAAGTAAAAGAAAAAAGAAAAAAGAAAACAAGAAGTAAGATCAACATGGCAAACGCAACGTTCACAGGACGCAGGCCCCCGAAACACCTAAGTAGGGCACACAGAAGGCACCAAACGAAAGCCTGGAGTGGCGACGAAAGACGAGAGACATGTTATGTGAGAAATAATATAAACTAAAGTCTTACCATTATTTAAAGCAAAAAGAAAGACTTGAACTTATTGTTCCTAGTGAAATATTTGAATGTTTATTTAGCATTGATAAGCCCTGTCTTATGTTGAGATTTTTTGTCAACCAGCCAAATATAATGCCTTGCTGTATGTCTTCCATTAAGTGTGTAAGTCGAATATGTACTTATGACATAATAGAAATTTGAAACAAATGTAAAAGTTATACTTATAACATTGTTTTGCATAAAATACATCATTGCTTTCAAAACCGTAATAAATTCCGAAGTATCATACATCACGTGGGATTTCAAGTATTCTACAAATATATAAGATTGAGTGAGATAGAGCAGTTTTGCCAGCTTGTCTCTGGGTTCTCCACTCTGATTGATAGTCCTAATGAGGCATTTCATAAGGAGGCTCTGAGATATATACACTATTTGTATATGTGACTCAATGAATGCAAACTTACTCTTGGGCTTTGTTAAAAATATATCTTAGATTTTGTTTTACATTGCATATTAACTTATTCTGAAGGCAATGGAACTTATATATAATATATGTTAGGTATTGTTTCTCATAGTATGTAAACTAATAACGTTGTCATTGATATATAGTAAATATATCTTAAATTTTATATCTCAATGAACATAATCTTATTCATGTAGCTTTGTAAATACATAATCTTACATTTCGTTTCGTTAAGATAATAGTATATACTTATTATCTATTCAATCAATTATAAAACTACATGGATTAAAGAAAAAGTTACATCTTTACTTTCGTTTCGCTAAGATTATTTTTTATTTGATATCCATGTCAGTAAAATTCCTGCATTTTTAACTATATATAGCCCATTTGTTAAAGGAGTGTTTAAAATATAATAACTGATGTAATTGCTGATATTCTACTGTTCTTAGTAAACAACATCTTATTTAGCCTTTTAATAATTCTACAGCTTACACGATAATTGCTTTTATTCATTTCATATAGAAGAGTCATACTTATTCTGTAATGTTTGTGTACGTGTGTATATATTTCTCTTTTTTATATATTTTTATGTTTTTGTTTTTGAAGATGCCACTTTATGTTGTGCCTATTGTAAATATGTAATGCTCTCCAGTGTGGAGGAAATAAAAGTATCTATCTACCTACCTTTCGCAGTTTGTATAACAACAAAACATATTTCAGTTTGAGCAAAAATAGTTATACACAGTTTAAAAATTGACAAGTCACTATTTCATTTTTTAAATATTTTAAATACGTCCGAGTAGGTGCTATAATACTTAAGACAAGATTCAACAACAGTATATAAAGCTAGATTGAAAATTTTTTATTCTTTTATCAAAATCAATTTTAAACAATTTAAATCATAAGGCATTTCAAATGCTTTAATAAGATAAATGCACACAGTCGCATATTTGAGAAAAAACATGTTCTGTCAAGTTATGATAAACAAATAATGTGTCGACTGTACTGTTACTCCTCCATACAGATAAACTTTAACCATCCCAAGATATGTAATAAGAAATATTTGTTACAGAATCTCAGACACATCGCAGACACTTGTTGAAAGTTCAGTGACAAGCAGAGCAACGGCGACTTCCGACTGCACAGAAATAATCGGATCGGATGGACAGTCCTTAACTATATCCAATATGCATATATTTGATAGGTTCGTAAATTAATACTCATTATCAATGGTGTGTGGTTTCTGATATATTATGTCTGATACGTAATTTTTCTTACTGTTCTCTTTTCGCTAGCAACTGGTGTGTAATACATCAAGGGAAACGAAAAACTAAGATTTAAGATCGGTGCACAACGATCGACTCTGGTCAAGTCCGAAGTCCCGAACTGAAATTATAAAATGTCAAGAAATTGTGTTACAAAATAGGTTATAATCAGTTCTTAATAGAAACTATTTAATCATATCCGACATTTAACCAGTACATCTGAGGCTGATCCCATATTGTCAAATAACATATTTAAATCATGACATGTATAATGTTTCTATTATGAAGTAAATACATGTATCTACAAAGAATTGTGTTCGTCATTCATTTGAATTTTGTAAATTATGTATGACTTATTAACTTAAAAGTGCATTATACAACAAAGTGTCTCTTTCTTATAAAAAAAATATTTAAAAAATATTATTGAACTTTTAAGCCTGTTTTTAACACTGTAACAAACTTAGTAACATTTCAAATTACTTTACTTTAACATCTATGTTTGTCCTAAGGTCAGAACGTTATGCAACGACCTTTTGTCGTCTGAATTACCGGAAACATCAGTTTGTTTATTGCGATAATTTCGGTTACTTGAATTAAAAACATGCCATCTTCAAAAAAGTTTTCGATGTGCTAATACGGATATGACACAAAGGTAAGAAATAATTTTACTTTTTTTTATAATTTTTCTTTCTTTTTTTGAATAAAGATCTTTTTATTTATCCCAAAATGTTAAATGGCAGTACTTATGTATCGTAAGTTAGTAAGTTATATGTAAGTATGTACTAATTACTTGTGAAATTTATACAAATTATCGATTTTGTTGGTGTACGGACATAATCCCCTTCGGACAAAATACCCTTCGCATACCCGGACAAAATCCCCTCCATGGGTGGACATAATCCCCTTCATGTTTTTGCAAAGCTAGACAAAATCCCCTTACCTAGCCGGACAAAATCCCCTTGTTTCATAGGTTTCTAATGTATTATTATGCTCCTTAAAATATGATCAATAATGAACTTGTGTGTTTTTTTTTAATTTATGATTATGTATCAAGTTAACCTTTATAATTAAATAAGCTTGATAAGAAATATTTTTTATTTGTTAAGATCAATAATCAACCAAATTATCATTAAAACCGTTTAATTAGTTTAGCAGTGTTCATTATAATTGTGGTAACTTATCAATTGCACAACAAAATTAAAATTAAAATGGAATAAAAAGTCAAAGTGTGTTTTTTATTATTGTTGAAGTTTCAAAAGTCAAATCATCAATGCCATCATCTTATTTATTTAAAACCATTCTTATAATTTCAAAAACACTATTACAACTCGTCCATAAATTCTGAAAGATAGTGAGGAAGGAATGAATTGTGCAACACTGTCCATCTAGCACAGGCCTTATGTATATAGCAGTATAGAACTGACAATATTCCCGAATAAAGTACTATCAATAATTGCATAATGCAGTATGTCGCTCTCATACCCACTTTATCAACGGAAAATTCATCCGAGGGGGATTTTGTCCTAGGTAGCAATTTTATTGAGGGGATTTTGTCCACACATGAAGGGGATTAAGGAGGGGCTCAGTAGTATATGCGTCTCTTTAACGTCAAGACTGCGCATGCGCAGTGGCCATTTTATTTGATATTAATAGTAACTCATTTACATAGAAGAAATTACGTCACTTCACATGCGCGGCGCCATGTTGAATATCAGAGATGTGCAGTGGCCATTTTGGATTTTATTTTAAGAATAACATCATCATGTTATAAATAGAAACGTGAATAAAATATATCTCCCAAAACTATACAGAGCTGACTTGTATACACGATTTAGGGCGTGGTCGCGCACATTTAGGGTCAGGTGCTCAGCCCTAAACGAAAAGATAACCAATTATTACAGAGAAATAAAAGTTTTATTTTATTTTAAAAACTTATCAAGCAGTATACGTAAATAAATTGTTGAACAATATTAGTGAAAAAATAATTATACTTTTGTTGACGATCTTTCCTGCTAGACGTCAGTGATAAAATGACTCCAATCATAAATGTAATTGTACTTATTGCGTATGCTCGGACCTGGTTTTACAATCGACATCATAAGTTATATTTAGATCAGGTCACGAGTGCACCGAACGTGATCATAGTCTCAGTGTCTAGCGTCTATTTATTTAAGAGCGGATGACGGACAATAAAATGTAAACATGTCAAAGTTAATCTCCTGCGAATGTTTATTTAAGATGGCTTAACAATAGCCTATTAAACAGTTAAAGTAAATCCCCTTAAAGTCGCCGCAATGATTGGCGTGTGTTTATTTAGGGACGGTTACATTAAAAAAGGACTATTGAGATGCCAAAGTTGATCTCTTTAAAGTTGCCATTGCGTCTAGCGTGTGTTGATTTAAGGACGGATGGCCGGGTTAACAATGCGCCATTGAGATGTCAAGTTAATCCCTGTGCGTGTATTAATTTAGAACAGGATGAAAGTCGCCCTAATGCCTAGGATGTTGTTTCCCCGACCTGCATTATACGAATGAAAATATTTTTCTTTTTATTTGATTGATATATTAACTCTTCAAAATGAACACTAAATAGACTCAGTTGGATAAATTTTGACATTATATATCAAGAAAAAAAACGCCTTTTTGTCTTTTATGCAAAACTTTACGATATCGATTTTCAAGATATTTGTTTTATTTGATAGATCTGTTTAAATGCTTCGAAATAAACCCTAGGTTCTCGATTCGATTTTCAGCCGTTCTCGAGTAAAAGCCCTTTAGCGATTTTAAAACCAATTTTTCAAAGTCAATAAAACACTTAGGTTCATATACCATTGGAGAGATCTCGGTGAGTAGATAGGGAAAATGTATAATTTAATGGATCTATCTTTTACCGTTTCTGAGATAGGATAGTTTCAATATTGCAGACAAAATCACTCATGCGTATAATACGTATTACTTTTTCGTTTATGAACAAAACATAGGCATGTTTCATATCAAACAAAAGGACTTGACAAATGCTATCAGCTCGTACTGTCAAACCGGAAGTGAAATTACTCATGCGTAAAATACTGATTTACACCTTCATTACCGGAGATGTTGGATTTCTAACAAAAGGTCCTGACGAGCTCTATATGACTACAGACTCAAACCGGAAGTAAAGTCACTCATGCGTTAAAGACCACCAAAATAACTAAAATAAACGTACCCCCAGTCTTTACTCCTCGCTATCCTAGTTAGGAATGACAGAGGCTATGTACAAAAATGACTTTTAAACCATTTTTATTTTGCAATGTGATTGGTTAAAGCTATACGCGGCGGTGATTGGCAACCAGTGTCACTTAGTGATTATGAGTGTAATTCTTTAAATCACCGTCACTGCTAAAAGAATTACACAATTCCCAATAGTATATGAACCTAAGTGTTTAATGGACTTTGAAAAATTGGTTTAAAAATCGCTAAAGAGCCATAACTCGTGAACGGCTGAAAATCGAATCGAGAACCTAGGATTTATTTCGAAGCATTTTAACAGATCTATCAAATGTAACAAATATTTTGAAAATCGATATCGTAAAGTTTTGCATAAAAGACAAAAATGCGTTTTTTTCTAGATACATAATGTCAAAATTTATCAAACTGAGTTTATTTAGTGTTCATTTTGAAGAGTTAGTATATCAATCAAATAAAAAGAAAAATATTTTCATTCGTATAATGCAGGTCGGCGAAACCACATACTAGGCATTAGGGCGTCATCCATCCTGTTCTAAATTAATACACGCACAGGGATTAGCTTGACATCTCAATGGCGCATTGTTAACCCATCCGTCCTTAAATCAACACACGCTAGACGTAATGGTTACTTTAAAGGGATTAACTTTGGCATCTCAATAGTCCTTTTTTAGTGTAACCGTCCCTAAATAAACACACGCCAGACATTGCAGCGACTTTAAGATGATTAACGTTGACAGTTGAATAGGCTATTGTTAAACAACTGGTCTTAAAATAACATACGCAGGAGATTAACTTTGACATGTTTACTTTTTATTGTCCGCTTATCCGCTGTTAAATCAACACACGCTAGACATTGCGGCGACTTTAAGGGGATTAACTTTAACAGTTTAGTAGGCTATTGTTAAACCATCTGGTCTTAAATAAACATACGCAGGAAATTAACTTTAACATGTTTACTTTTTATTGTCCGTCATCCGCTCTTAAATGAATAGACGCTAGACACTGAGACTATGATCACGTTCGGTGCACTCGTGACCTGATCTAAATGTAACTTATGATGTCGTTTGTAAAAACAGGCCCGAGCATGCGCAAAAAGTACAACTACATTTATGATTGGAGTCATTTTATCACTGACGTCTAGCAGGAAACATCGTCAACAAAAGTACTATTTTCAGGTAAAATGTATTTATTTTATACCTTGTTTAATGTTTTAATTTAAATAAAATGAATATTTCATTTTATATATTTATTTTTGCAACAATATAGTTCGTTTTTTATATAAATTCAATTCGTGTATGGATAAATCTATATGATATTTAAATATATTCCGTATATACTTTTTTTATCTGTAATTTATTTTGACTTGTTATAATTATTTTTTCACTAATATTGTTCAAAAATTTATTAACTTATACTGCTTGATAAGTTTTTATAATAAAATAAAACTTTATTTTTCTGTAATAATTGGTCATCTCTTCGTTGAGGGCTGAGCACCTGATCCTCGATGTGCGCGACCACGCCCTAAATCGTGTATACAAGTCAGCTCTGTATACTACCGGGAGATATATTTTATTTTATTTATAACATGATGATGTTATTCTTAAAATAGAATCCAAAATGGCCGATGCACATCTATTATTTAAAATGGCGCCGCGCATGTGCAATGAAGTCATTTCTTCTATGTAAATGAGTTACTATTAATATCAAACAAA